GCTAATCGGGAAGAGTTAAAGTCAATTACTTCAGAGTGATTGGATCTAATTCCACCAATGAGTGCGGGGGACTAGGAATCGTGCGTGAAAGATGTCGGGTGGGAAATTAAGGTTGTAAGAATCGCCTATGGGAATTGGGCGAGCACGTAAACGGAGGTTGGAGTTGTCAAGACAGAATTGATGAGTGCTGTTGGTTCTACAGACCTAGTATATGTGCTTACTGAAGGACTCCCGGGATTTTTAAGAAGAATTTGATGTTGCTTGGTATTAGAGGTAATTTGGTAGATCTGTAGGTGGTGGTTAGAATAGTGGTTAGAAGCTGAATAGACTCTAAGATAATTCTGTTGCAGCCGTTTCGTTTCCTGGTGCGAGAGGGAGTAGCACTTAATTGTAATGCTTAATTCAACGTTTAATGAAAATAGATTCTCCTCCTGAAGGTATCTGGAATGACCGATTATATTCGTAGAAAAGGTTTCCAGGAAGTGTGAAAGGAGTGAACGGCATCTCATGTTTTCTGGCACCGACACATCCACTTACACACCCACTATAGGCAAACGGTTTTCCATGCATGTTTGGAAAATAATTTCATACATCAGTATGTGTAATAATTGTACATTCGTTATATTTAGAAACTTATCAACTATTGCTACGAATGACGCAAAATTTACAGCGTCACGGAAAGTCTTGTCATATGATAATGAAATAGTCGTCTTGATAAAAAATTAATTCTGTGGAGGATAATCAATCAAACTGCGGATTACTGATGACAACTGTCAAACTTGAAGCAATGAAATAAATTTTTTCTATAGACAATATGGTTAGAGACGAAGGAAAAACTGTGATCATTGAGAAATATGTAATTTATCAATAAAAAGAAAGCGCTGCAACAGATATAAGGCAACTTGTAATTATGGTGAAAAATAAATAATTCATTTCAATTAACAATAGTGTAAACAATAATATATTTTTCTCCTTCTGTTTCCGTAGCTCTGACTACCTATCTCTCTTTCTTTTCTTTTCTTTCATTCTTTCTTTCTTTCGATCATATTAATAAAATTGGCTTCGCAAGTTTGTATTACATAAGAGGGTGTGTCGTAACTAGCAAAACAAAAGGCATAACAAAAACACCTCAGCCATTTATAAATTTTTAAAACCACGCGATAAAATTTAGTAACTTCACTGAAAGTAACAATGAAATTACGTATCGACACTGAGACGTGTCAGTATGCCATCCTTTTGATCTTGTGGATTCTTCCGGTCATTGTTGTCCGGACAGAATTGTATCAGGGCTGTAATCCGCTTTTAACAGGATGGAAGGAACAGGGGACATGATTGGCGGAAAGCAGAGCGATGGCGAGAGCAGAGCGGGTGAAAAGACTTGCTGTTCCTTATCAGAGGGAACTGCGACACGAGCTAAAGTCAGGTACACAGTTCATCTGCTCCCGATACGGGAAAAGCAGCTGCGGCTGTCGCTTATCGCGGGAGCCGCCTGCCAGACTGCGCGCGCCGTCGCCCCCCTCCCGCTCCCGCCCCCAGCACCAACGCCCGCGCACGCACGCCTGCTGCCACCTCAGCCGCCAACGACTCTCTCACCTCCGCTGGCGACACCCCACCTCCGCGGTCCCACTCCGCACCCATGCACGCGAATGGCGCGCACACGCCCTCACGTCTTATTGTGTCACGTTTTTAGAATCATTGTCTTCAGAATCCTCAGTCAAAGTTCATAATCATTAATCGCCAATCAGATCTTAACTTTGGCGACTTCACTGCAGCCGGTTGCGCTGCCATAGATATACTCGACGAGTTAACACGAATGCCAGGCCTCCGTCACGGTTGCGCATCTGTCACCACGGTTTTCCTAAATGATTGTCACCACAATTCTTAATTAATATTCGGACCTATACATATTTTAACTACGGTGATTTTGACTCTCCTACCCCACTTTCTTTAAGTTTGCACGCAAATAATGCATATTCGACCCGTATCCACACATCTCGCTGAAGTATTTTCAGGACCAACGTTCTCAGCATTCATTGGCGAAGTACACAATAGTAAAGATTTTTTCCAATAATAATTTTATACTTTTGAAATATTAATGAAAATAAAATTTACCGAAGTTAAATACAAAGATTAGTGAAGTTAAATAAAATGTATTTTCATACTTATAACACCAGTGATACATGGCGTGATTCTAATAACTAGTAGTATTATGTAAAGTAATACTATATATATACATATATATATACATATGTATATATATGTATATATGTATATATATATATATATGTATATATGTATATATATATATATATATATATATATATGTGTATATATGTATATATATGTATATATATATATGTGTGTATATATATGTGTGTATATATATATATATAAATTAGTGGTTCTGTTAAGTGTTTCTTTACTTTTAGAGCACTTAATAATAAATAAAATGATGATATGTTCGTTTTGTTTTTGGGACTTTTTTAAAATTGGTATTCGCATCATATTTATTCAAAATTGCGATTAAATATTAATCGTAATACCTTATCGTAATAATAATCGAACTGTATTAATAGAAATAATAATCAATTCGTATTTAGAAGCCAAGATTATTGGTCCATTCTTACATTGCTTACGAGTTAAAAAACGAGAGTAAAAAAATCACTATTTTGTGTTATATTCTGAAGTTCACAATACTCGTGTAGAAGCTGAATAGGATTCGTTTAAGCATCTTCCTTCTAATGTATGTTTATGATTCTAAGCTCGAAAGTCTGACGCAGCCATTCTAACAATCACCTCTACCATTTTGCCCCTACAACTCTGATATAATCCTAAAATACAGCCGAAAATCGTATTACTCACGGATCTCCCTTCGCAGGTAGGTCAACCCCCCACGCAATCTCCTCCACTGCTCGAGGGAGCTCACTCGCCTAAGCAAGGCACGCACCACCCGAACGCAAACGAGAAATAACGGCGACCCCGGCGGCTGGACCGGGATATGAACTCGACTCCTCCATAACGCGGTGCCTTGTCCCGCTAAGCCACCGCCACCGCCTCCCAGGGCCGTCGCCCCAGCGCCCGCGGCCGTCGCCGGGGCTCGTCACGGAGAAATTTCGGCTTCCGCTTCTCTTTGCCCCTCCCCTCCCCTCCCGTCCCTCTTCCTTCTCCTCCCCGTCCTCGCGCACGCCTCCCGGCGGGCGATTCGCCGCCGCCGCCGCCGTCCGCCCGACGAGCAAACAAGCGCAAAAGAACACTCACATTTAAAGCGGTGCAAGTGGAGATAAAGCATGTCGCGACTTAAAGCGGCCGCCGACCGCCGGCGCGCCCGCGCTCGCTTGTTTCATGGGCGCCCGCGGAGCCGGTCGTGTTGTTCGCGCTCTGCTGTGCGCCGGATTGTGTTTGCACGCGCGCTCGGGCTTGTTAAGGATGCCAGGGTGAAAAGAAACTCACAAAGATCAAATTAGGATTGCCTCCGCGACGAAACAATCACTATTAGTTACTCCACAGTTTTCAGATGTGCTACATTTCACGATCTTGTAAAATTTACTTACTAAATGAAGTAATGTAAATTATAATACAATACAAAATTCCAAAGACAGCTATAACTCTTTTTTAAAAATTAAAAAGTCCTTCTGAAATCATTTTGTTTTAGTTTCTTATATTTTACAATTGGTCGCAATAGTGTTTAATGTCTAAAATAATATATGTTCTTATAAATTCTATTTTCTGTAACCTTTGTAGAAAGAATCCTTTATGTTAAGAAAATTTTGAATCACTCGTGTACAAACTCTAAAAGCATGTAAAGTCTCTACTATACTAAAAGGGCATGAAAAGTTGACCGATTATTAAAATTTTATTTTCCCTGAATGTATAAAGTACAAGTAAACGCATAGTCAGAATTAGTTGACGTAAAAAGTAAATACATTTCTTTCAATATTTGTTTTTGTTTCGCATAATGTTTTCATTATTATTCAGTGTATTGTAACACTATTTTTAACAATAAATTATCACAAAAACACAATTACCCGAATTTTCCGGAATGTTTGAAATATAAAATGAAAGAGAACAATCGGAAGGCAAGTTATTGAAAAATGCTTTCTAACTTTAAACATTTATGAAAAGAGTAAACTGCAACATTTAATACTATAATCAATAAATAGACAAAAATGTTAGTCGCAAAATCCACTTCTACCGCACAGATATTCATAAATAATGTGAATAATATAAGCTCTTCCAAGAGAGATTAATTAAATAAATGGTCGAATTCAAATAAAAGACAAGCAATGATATTTGCATTTTGAATAGAGAGATACATTTAGAATAGAGATACACACGAATGATATTTAGACACTGAATATATTCATAAAATAGTAGATAACGTTACAGGTAAAAATGAAAAAATATATTAAATCAAACATTTTTTGCACAATTTGGCACATTACATTTAATAAATCTGTACTTTCGCATTATTTATGTTACGTAATACTTTATTTACAGACTAGCAACTTCAGGGGTTATATTTATTGATCATTTTATTCTGAAATAATAATTTAAATAAAATGTGTTTAATACAAATTACTTACAAAAATCATTAGTGATTTAATAGTTGGGTGGATTGAAGTTTGAAATACGTTTTCGGTATATAGCATGTGACTAATAATGTAATACTAAAACTCAAAGTACATATAGTACAAGTTATGTTTCACTGAAATATAAAGTGTACATTTTGACATTATTTACACCACAACATTAAGTAAACGTAGAACTGGATAGAAGTCTTGACAAATCAATACTGCGTTCTCTCAAAAAACGCCTGGCAGGCTTATGCTTGCTCTCATACATATCACTTATTTCTTGTGACGTTCAGTCTAAGTAGTACACAAACCTCACAAACAAATAAAAAATGATGATTAAATTTCGCTATTCATGCTTCATCGCTTACGCTAACATAATGGAATCTTTATTCTCATCAGCGCACAATATAACAAGTCTATACTCACTTAAACTGTTGAAGTCATGGTTACAATTACTCCAACCCAGAACTGACGAGAAGCTGGCAGCGGTGTAGAAGAGTGTCCATGCGGTGATGACGTGGTAATATAAAGTGATGAGGTAGATGACAAACAAAGTACAGTATCCCACACCTAAGGGCAAAAAAAGAAAGTAAAGATTAGATTTTTCACCTAAGAAAAAGTGTAAAGAAACTGGTAATGGTATATTTTCAGTTACAACCTATAAAAAGTGAGAGCACATTGTGCATGCGCTCATATTTTTACTTCCTCACCACTGCTTACGCAGTATAGAGAAAATATTGTAACGGTGAGGGAGGAAACGGCGAATTTGAAACACAAAAAACCTGTCGCCGGGCCCTGCTAACGAAAAAGTGGATAAATATGATCCCTATATGTAGTAAATTACTTCTTCATTAGAGAAAGTCTGTACGTTTTGGACGATTGTGGAGGACATTGTGTAGTGTGATTCCATGTTTTGTGGATCCTTAATACCGAAAACTCGATTGACGACAAAACGTCAGTCAGTCAGTTGGTTTTTTGAACTACGCTAGCTAAACCATAAGTAAGATTTTCACCAAAAGTGATATTCCCTAACCTATCTGACCGAAAGTTTCTTCAATGTAAAACAGAAATTTTAATTTTAGGGGGATCTTCACATGAAGACCTTGGGACATTTTCAAAATTTTCAACAATGACAACGAAATTTTAATTAAATTTTGACCTCGGTTAGCGAAGAGGACGCTGAAGAGAATGGTGCAGGTCTCATTTTTGTTGAAATCCCTGATTTTTCAAAAAAATAAAAATTTTAAGTTGTTTGTTGTCGGCGTCTTCCTTCATTTACAATTTTAAAGATTTTTTTCTTAATGAAATATGGTCATCAGAAACATATTTTCAAATACCGCTTTGAACACTTTTTCGGAAGACTTTTTTTGGCCTAATTTTGCATGAAACATAGGCACCTTAAAATTTTAAACAATTATTTTACTACTTAAAATTTATTTTTTAAATAGTTTCCAATAATGTAGCAAAGATCGGTGAAGAAAGTGTCACTGGTCCTATTTTGGGTGCATTCTCTGTATTTTCGAAAATTGGATAAATATATCGTAGTATGTAGCATCAGGGTGGATGAAAATGTTTACGATGTTTGTGATTGATCCTGGTCGTATTAATCGTACGATGTAGATAACTTGAAAATAAATAGCTTTCAGGAATGTATTAATTTAAGACAGGGCTTGCCAACTCTGTGATGTCACAAACATCTGCTCTCTTACTCGTAATCGGCAGGCATACAATGTTCCAATGGTGTACGGAAGTGGAGGGGGGAAGGTTCGCTCGATAATTACGTTTTTGAGTGGTAGTAATTATCTAAATGTTTATGATTCAATAAAAATATGAAAAATTAAAAAAATTAACGTAGATTAGTTAATAACACAAAGCAATATCCTACTTGGTTTATCGTAACCAGTGCTTTAATTCTTCTTCCATTCTTCTAACACATAATATTTTTGGAGAAGACTGTTTTAACATTCTAATACAATATTTTACACAATTTTTTATAATATAACCATTTTCGCTCCTCCCGAACTAATAATACAGGCATACAAAATAAAAAAAATTGAAAATAAGTAAAATAAAAAACACCGAAAGACCTGACACAAGTTTCTCTGAGTGTGGCAACGCGCTGAATTCCAATCTGAAGCTAGAACTCCGCCATCACCCTCCATTTGTTTATTAACGAAAAACCACCGTGACATTGTACTTTTTGTTTTCGGGGATTGTTGTAAACCTTGTAAAACTTGACTTGACCCAGGTTTCTTTGTGTATATCAAAGCGCTGAATCCGAATCCGAAGCCACAACTGCGCCACCCCCTTCCAGTGTTTTTTTAATTGCGAAAAAATAATGATTTTTACAATTTAAAATTTCACGGTGATTGTTTGCAGTTTTAAAATACTGGACGGTGGTGGCGCAATTTTGGCTTCAGAATCGAATTAAGTGCGTCGACATACACAGAGAAACATATGTAAAGTTTTCGGGTCTGAAACCTTTTTTTTATTTTGTGTGTCTGTATAGTTAATGTTAATAAATAGATACAGATAGATATCGGGGAGGGGTCACGTGGGAGAATTTGAACTCCAGGCTTGATTATCTATACAGTGCAGTTTTGTTGCAGATTGTTGTAAATCCTCGTGATTTTTAATTGCTTTTCCATAATTTACTATCTGCAAAATCCTTTTCCCTTTTCATGAGTGCAGGCTATCTGTAAATTCTCAGAATTTTTTTTTCTCACAGGTTTCTCTGAGTTACAAAGCTGCGTAATACCTCTGTCGGTTGAACTCTTTAATATACTGCAGTTCTATTGCATACTCTAAACACTTCGTCATTGTTTCGGTATCTACAAAAAGAAACCTTTCTTCGAACGGAAAGAAAAATAACGGTTGTAGGTTGTCTCCCACTCATGTTCCCTGAAACATCGGCAAAGGCCCACTGGTTTCCGTTATTGGCGACCGCTGTCTGCCCCCCTCGCACCTTCCCCTCTTGGCTGACGCCGCTTCTCCGAGAAGGAGCCCGCGGAGGCGAACGGAGCTCTGACGTCATTTCTCTGCCAGTTGACAAACGTTGATATAAGGTATGTGAAGGTAAAATGGCCACATTAAGTGCCTCAAATTTTCTTAATTATATGTCAACATTTGGCCAAATTAACAGCATCATGATGATATTTAACACTTTTGCTTTAAGTTGAAGTAGATATATCACAAAAATAGTGATTCAGAAATATTTTGTTGTTATTTTACAAAAAAATGTAATGTTAAGGTAATATGCTCACATGTAGGTTTTATGGTCAGATTGATGGTTTCTTGGAAGCATGACAATAGAACTAGGGCTAGCTATACATGTTACTAGCTAATACTATATGTTACTCTCTCACAGTCTAATTTAACAAAAATATGTCCTGACATAATTTTATGTTTGTTCATAACCAATTCATTCTTTTCTACAATGAGACCATATTATTAAAAAATTGAAAACACCAGAAAATGCATTAAACCTTACAAAAAGAGTTTAATCACCTTGATTTTGAGAACAATGAAAGTTTCTTTGCCTTTAATAGTTAGTCCTACACTTTCTTCGTGTACATCTTTCCCACACATACTGCATCGACGTATGTTCTGAACTGCCTCCTCACAGCAAACATGACAATTCCACATTTCCCCATTTTTCTCTACAGAATTTGTTTCCTCCAGTGTTTACACCTTTTGTTGAGTTTTCTTCATTAAAATGTACTTATTCTTTAAAACAATAGCGCAAAAGTTCATTGCTGGAGAATTAAGTTAATGTGGAAATATGCCCGATGTCCTTGGCCATATTGACAGCCAAAACAACATGTTATAAAATCTTTCCCATGTTGGTGAAATATTAAGCAACTTTAACGGTATTAATCTGATTAGATTGCTCATTAAATCCGCAAAACCTTTATGTATATTTTCAAAGTACTAAATCCTTCTTCAAGAGTAACTAATGATAAAATGCCATGAAAAGAAGTTATAAGAACAGAGTGCTTGACAATGGAGGTCCGAGGGTTAAAATTCGCAAGTCAACAAGCCTTGCAGTGGGTTAACGCACTTCTTACACTCTCCCAGATTGCATGCTACTACTATTTACGGTAAATATTTTCAGCTAACTACGTCACCACTACTTAGCCATATTACCTTCACTCTCTATATTTGCATTATTTACCTAATTTAACAAAGAATTAAAAAATACATTTGAAGTCATGCGGGGAAGAACGAATACATTTTTAATGTTCTGAGATATTTCACTTTTAAAATTTAAACTCTTTTTGGTAATATTTGATAAACCATGTAAAAATCATTGATATGAAAAACAAATTACGCGTTCTAAGAATGATTTTATTATGTTTCATAATGTTCTTATTACAACAGGGGGGAAGATAAGAATGATATTAAAATTAATACAAAAAATTTGGACTGTTGAATTACCATCCGAATCGTATTCGTTATCAAAAATATCGAAATTTTTACTCACAGAAAACAACAAAAAAGTGCCAAATGCTTGTAGAGAAATAGAAAGGAAGTAACTTCACAAGGTATGAGAGTGTATTTGTGATGTTATTCAGTAGATCATTTATTCTTTGCACTTTCGGTTAATTCTGGACTGCTCTTTAGATCCATTTTACTACTCACACTTAATGACAAGTAATATGGATCACAAATAAAATCGAAAAAAGGTCAAGAAATTCGGCGAAATACTAATCAACAAACTCTAAAATTATTACAAAAGAATGCATGAACACACATCAGTAATCATAAAATACTGGGACTCTCATTCCACCTTCCCACATATTTTCAACTGTGAATGTCTCTGGACTTTTCACGTTTTATATGAATCTGACTATACCAAAAGAAGCTTCATGTATTGGTCAAACAGATGGTGTCATAATCCAGAATTCATAAAAATTGTACTTTCATCGTTATTCCTCCCATGTCTTTATTCCTTTTACTTCAAGAAGTTTTGTTGCCTGATTATGGTATTCAGAAATTGTTATCTCATTTCGACGTACGTAAACAAGGCAAGCTTGTGTGAAATATAATTTTTCATTTCTGTATTTGCTGCAAATACCGTGAAAGTTAAATTTATTTGTATTCGTTCTATTTTTAAAGGTTAAAAATTACCACTTTTGCTGGCACAGGCGCTTCGATTGAACAGGGCCTTTTCAAGTTATAACTGAGCTTTTAGTACCTGTATCAAAATTATAATATTTCAAATTACTTAACAATTTCCGATAATGCGAGAAAGTATGTGCTGTTCTAGCTTAAACATTTAATTACATTTTCTTGACATATCGTTAACCTAAGAGCATTACAGAAGTAGGTAAAATCGCCTCCAATATTATTTCAGTTGTATACATACATTTTGAGGCTCTCACACGCAACTAATATTTGTAAATGAGGACTCTAAAGAAAGAGAATTTCATAGAGACGTGGCGAATTGCACTGTAACCCATTTGGTGCCACTGGTTCAAAAATGGAACGTGAATTTGAAAAACCCCTCTTTCGTAACAATATTGTAAATTTTGTTTGACAATAGTGGTAGAATCTGTAAATAGGTTCTTTTTTTGTATTTGTCTTTTGTTTTGTAAGTTGGGTGCACTGTATTCACAGTATTCTCGTGTTGAATCTGCACACTTTTGGTGTTCTTCACTCCGTCCTTTAATGATCTCACAATATGAGATTGAATTATAATCTTCCACTATTGGATCAGTGGGATCAGATTACCTGTGTATTTTCTCTGTTAAGGTTGTCAGTCGAGGAAATTGGCTCAGTACAAGAGGAAAAAGAAAATATTTTGGAGGCAAAAAATTATTTGGGGTCCCAGATAATCATGTTCTGTCAGACGAAGATTCAGGTGACGATTACGAAGCAGACCTAGATAAATTGAGCGGAAATCAGTTACGCGGAATTTCAGAAGCAACGGTTACAAAATACGTTTCTGGCGAAATATAGACCCCTTTAGCAACAACGAAGGCACGGAAAACCATCAAGACACACACCAAAGATGATGGAATTGCTGGTGTGATCGTGAGATTTGGAGGCAGAGATCATCGTGGAAGGAAGGTCCAAAAGTGAAGGAGCTGTCGGCCACAAAGGCGAGGGGCAGCGTCCGATGCTGAATGTGGTAGTGATGGCAGCGGGGCGTTGCGGAGTGAGACGGGGGCTGCACCGCTAGCCGCGGCGCGAGCTCTCGGGGTCAGGCGGGGTCACGCCGCGTAGCGGGGCGCGGAACCGGCCGGACACGGGTCATACAATTTCTTTCGGACACTCCGACCTCTGCGCTGGGTTGCCCGTTCGTTTTGCTTCCTGGTGGCACTTCATTAGGAAAGACGCTTGCCGGTGTGTTTGGACGAAATATAGTAAAAGCGAAAATAATTCGACGGCTCCATTTAGTATAAAATAACTTATCGCTAATTATAATGAAGACTATCAGAAAAAAATAATGATTTCTTTCTGTTATAGAACTTTCTATAGTTCTGTCTAAGAAAATTTATATACAAATATTTTAACATTTCCATCGCTCTTGATTAAATTTTGTAGTTGGATATTGTAAGGGACGTTTACGAGAATGTGCAGTTCTCACTTTCGTTGAAAACTCTGATTTTTCGAAAAATGCAAATACTCAAAATTCGTTTTGGCGTCTTCCTTTAACTAAAATATTAGAGAATGAGATTTTCCCCCTTAATAAAATCTGTTTCTAAAGATAGCAAGTAAGTGAGGTCATGTACAAAGAATGTGAGTATATTTTGTGTGAAACAGGCAATTTTTAATTGTGTTCAAACAATTTTTTCTCAAAAACCGCTCTATCATTCTTAATGAAATTTTGTTGTTAGATAGTCAAACGGGCGTTTAAGAAAATAATACAGGTCTCATTTTGGTTTAAAACTTTATCGAAAAGTGAAAAAGTTCAAAAGAATTTTTCAAATGGTAATTGAAATGTCAGACCGAAATGTTCATATTACAATATTACATAACTATTCACAATATCGCGAGAAAGTACATGCTGGGGGAAGCATCACTAGTTAAAAATATTTGACTGTATATTTTTGTACAAGTCCTTGGATTTTCTCTGCTGCACTGATTTTGCATTCCTACTTCTGAACTAAAGTCAATTACGTATCTTTGAAAATACTCTAACAGACTTTGCTTTTGACGAGAGTACTAACTTAGAGTTTAAACACTATTAACCCCTCCCCCCTGTATGATAGGGGTCACACATATCCATCCATTTATTCAACACTCAAGCAGACATTATGATAACAAATATTTTATTGATTTTAGAACCGCCGAAACGGATTTTAACCCCAAAATCTATCCATGGATTTTTGGATGAATACCAATACTTCGTACGGACGGATACCTAAAACTGGTATAATAAGTTACTTTTCAGAAACTCAATTAATGAAAATACATTCTTTTTTTGTCGATTAATCAAAGATTCAAAAATGTGAGTTCACAAAATCAGATATCCTCGAAATAAATGCTACCAAGAAATAACAAGCATGCTATAAATATTACTTTTCCTAGGATAACAATAAATCATTTAAAACTGTGAATGTTCTCCGTAACTTAATTTTTACAAAATATGTGCTTTTTGAGTGTAAAACTTATTAAAGAATGAACAAATTACTTTTAAGAAGCTGATGCAGAATGCAAAGCGCGAGAAACCTCTCTGGCCACTCAGCAGAGTTGAACGTCACTTTTTCGCAAACGGTGCTCACCTTGGAAGAGGGGTGCCATTCTGTAGAAGGCCACATTGGCCCCGAGGCCCGAAAACTGGCCGACGATTAGTTCCAGGTAAAACAACGGCAGGCCCATTGTAAACAACATCACTATATATGGTATGAGGAAGGCACCTGCAACACAAAAAGTTATCTCGTAAACAAGATTTCTTCGGTAATAAATGGATGTGTGTCCTTGAACACACTATGTGACAATAAAAAGGCACATTTTATTAATTAAATTAAAAAGATTTACGATAAATCTAAGTGTTATAAAATATTCTACACGTCTTTTTCCTCCTTCAGAAATGCATGAACATGAACCATATACGTATTAGCATAAACGCATCATTTTATCCGAATAAACGTGTGATAAGCGTGATAACGATAAGATATAAGCGAGATAAAAGATAAGCATGAAAAATGATGGGCGCTAAATCAACGGCAATGTGCAACTTCCCTTGCTTGATCACAGAAAGCGTATCATGTTCCAATTGTATTTGACATTAAAAACGGACACAGCGATTTAGAGCATTTTTCTTCCTCAAATATGATAGTTTTTTTATAAAAGTTTTTTTATAAAATTCAATGCGTTTTAATCTGCGAAAACAAAGCTTGTCTGCCATTTTCTAGATTTACCACTTGAATAAAAATCTGTATTTTCCAATCGGAATCTCGTTATTGCGTTGAGCCAGTCGAGCTACAACCGCAAAGCGATTGCAATTTTGTTCACGCGTTCGATCGTCAATGCTTCAAATTCGCCAATGAAACACTTCCAAATTTTATGAAACATTAATACGATTGTTACTGTCATAAAAATATCGCAGCACAGCTACAAAAATTATTCAAACAGTACGTCCCACGATTTGATAGAAGTTATTGCAGGGCAAAAGGTCAGTCAGCAAAGTTCTTCCAGTGATTCAATTAGAGACACTAATCTTAGAAGGATCTCCTTCATTAGTGAATGCTGTATTGCTGCAATGGAGAGATGTAATGAGCCGGCATTGATATCTACTGAGGTTCCCGTAGTAAAAACATTTGAGTCGATTGACTATTTCAAATAGGCAATCCTCAGGTAAGAACGTAATTTAATTGGCACTTTGTGATGAAAATTCTAGGCCACAACACGAACAGCACAGAGAAGAATTTGTAACCTAGAAAAAGAGTGTGTGGTTTGCAGAGAGAAACTTTTTCTACTATTGCAATCAAAATTTAAAAAAGCAGGAGGAACGTGTAATGCTTGATTATTTATTTACAATACGTAAAATGAAAGGGCAAATCACGAAATCAAGGAGAATGCAGGAAATGTTTGTAAAATACGTTCGTCTATGCCGCATTTTTGACACAGAATAATTGAAAGAAGTAGAAGAAGTCAAGGTTATTAAATCACATTATCATCAAACCACAACAGTCAACTCCTTTGGGAATTAAGATTCATCTGAGAATCGATATGAAATATGTAGGCTTCGAATTTATTTTATATCAATAAAACGCCATATTACACTTATACATTTTTTAAAGTTTTAACACGTTGCTTCTCTCATTATTTTTCTTATTTGTTACCTTTTTCTTTCTCGCTACTGATTATGCAGGATAGATACGGTTATGTTATACTGCGGGAAAAACGGTGAATTTTTGGCAGAAAATCCCTTTTACTGGACCCTGGTAACGAAAAAATGGATAAATCGTTGATAATTATAAACAAATTCTAAAACCTGATATAGCTAGAATCCACGTTCTGTGAGTCCTTCATACCAAAAATCGATTGACGGGAAAACGTCTAGTGAGTTCGTCTGTGAACCACGTACCGGCTAGACCGTTCAGCTGATTTTCTCCAAACCTGATATATCCAAATTGATCTGGCTAACATTGCGGCTCCTTGAATTTGAAACGGATATTTTAATTTTGTGGGTAATTTACATAAAGACCCTAGAACAATTTCAAAATAGAAAAAAATGGCACCAAAATTCAGAGATAACTGTTATTTATGTAAAAAAGGAAGTGATAAATACAAATTATAGAGAAATATTTCTCTATAATTTGTAAATATTGTATATAGTTTTTGTATATATTAGTTTTAGTTTTTTGTTATAACAGGTGAGGATTCTTTGAAGTGGGCACAGTATAAATTTATTTGTTAATTTTGTAATTTTGTGTAAATCATTTTGGTTTCATGTAAAATTTTGTAATTAAATTTTCAGTTGTACCAGATGACGGAGACAAAACAGCCTCCGAAACGTCGTAGTGAATAAATTTATTATGTATAGACATTTTGGCACTTATCATTGTGGTTGTCCTTAATTTAAAATAAGGGTCTAAACAACAAATAAATACAATTATATTGTGACAACCATTTTAAAACGTATTCTAAGGATTTTATATTTATTCAACTTGAAACACGTTGAGTTCGACCACAACTATATACAATTATTATTCAAATCCGGGAAATTTTCGTACGAATTCCGAAAAGGTTTCAGAGTTAAGCCATATCAGGATTTAAATGATTCCGGCAAGTCAACAAGAATGCATAAAACATTTTCGACAAATGTGCACCATTTCATTTACTATATAAGATACTTGAATTTATTGAAAACCGAAGTTTCAAAACTTGCGATTTTGTATTGTAATGGGCACTCAATCTTGAAGATTTTGAATCTATTGACATGTATCTTGATAACAAACAGTAAATGATGGGGGAATATGATAAACATTCATATTGATTACAATTTTGAGGAATGGTCGAGGGGAGTATTGCTAGTCTTCAATTTCGCATGATGATCTGTTCTGATTTTGAAGATAATGAATACACCGTTGCACGTTTTTAAATTCACCGCTACACGATAACGCAGTTGAAAAGAAACTATATCAACATGTCTCATGTGCTTACCGCGTTTTGATGAATGGAACGCAATCTACGAAGTAATAGAGAATTTTTGTACATCGATGTTTAAACATAAGCCGAACTGGTTATTGTCACGTGACGCCGGGAACACTATCCCGGCCTCTGTAACAAACAAGAATTAGCCGGGCCCGGTTCGGTAAGCGAAGTTTTTTACCGTGCATGCACCGCTTACGATTTGGTCGACGGTTATACTCTTTGGTTTTATGAAGCATATATTTACTGTTTTGGGTTCTTCGTATACTAAGATCGCGGAGAAAGGCAGACTGCGGTTTTCTGCAAAATATTATGAATTGAACAAAGTGTTGGCTTTACTTTGTGCGAGAAAGGAAGCCAGAGAGGAGGAATATTGAAATTCTAGTGGTTTTGGAAACAGGGATGCTCTTTAAAATAAGAAGCAGTTCTATGTTCCAAATTTTACAGACATTTTAATTCCAGGGCGCTTTGTTTTTAAAATTTAGAGCAGAATTGCATTTTTGTATTTAGTCCATATCAATATTCCCAAGTAAACATGCTTCAATTAATTCTTCCGTAGCAGGGTACAACACAAGCAGAGAGTACAACAAGTGAATACCTTGCCACACTTCGCAATGTCATCTCGGCGTTGTCGTTCCTGGAAATAAATGGTCACGATGTAAATAAAAGAAGGACTTAATCGAAATCACAGTACACAAAATGGAAAAATTGATGACCGAAATCGGAAGGGCGCCAAACTTATGTGTAACTTAATACTGTTGTTAATACTGATGTCAGCACAGTATAGGAGTAACCGTAAACGTTGTGCAACAACTCCTTTTTTGAGCTTCACAGAAGTTTGGACGTTACGTGAATTCAATTCGTTAATGTTGGACGTTTCGGTTATATGCAAAAAATATCTAATGTCCAGAGACTTTCTGACCATAAATGACACGTTCAAAAATTAGGAACCAGGAAGGTTTGCGCGTCCCCCACCTGGCAGAGTCATCGGGCAGCAGGCGGCGCGCAGAGGAGCGGCCGGCCGGGCCGTTGCGCGTCGTCCGACCCGAGGTCACGCCCCTCCGTCCGTCTGCGCGTCCCGTTTGTCCCTTCGCCCACTTCCGGTTACGGACGCGCCATCCACGGCGATGTTTTTGTACAATCATCCACTTTTTAAAGCCGTTGTTTGTTTAACAACGATGTTTTGTGTTCAGTATTTTTGCTTGGTTGATATTTGTGTGTTGGGCGGATTGCTCTCCGAGGATCTTTTCATCTAGAAGATTGCCTGTAGGATTTCCGTACACACACACATTAAAAGTACTCTGATATTTGTAAAAACCCTTGTATTGAAAACTAATATCTCTTAATTATCAAAAGAAGCGAAATAATAGAAACAGCGTGAAACCATAGGGTGGGCGGCGCGAACGACAGGTGCGCGAGCCGGTCATGCACGAGACCGCGAAACAAGGAATAACGGAGTCGGCGGTTAAGGAAGGCTGTTGGATCCCGAAATACAGACGGAACGGTCATGACACGTTGGAGAAGCGCCTAACACCGACAATTGCTACCGGTGATGCGAGTGCAAATAACAATAGAGTGTTTGAGGTTGTTGAATGCGAAACACGTCGACGAGAAGGAGAAATTGATCATAAAATATGATAAAAATACAAACAATTGGACATGTTCCTAATTAATCTTGATGGCGAGTGGCCGCCACGTAACTGATTGAATAGTGCATGTCTAGACGGATGAGACAATTTGTTCATTGTGCGATGTATGAAGACCAGTCATTGATTTGTGAAGATTTGAAACACTTTTAGTAGTGCAAGGGAATACGGTGTGATTGCGAGAATACCCAAACACCGAGTGCATTGTGTGGCTGAAAGTTAATTAACGGCCGAATCTCTGCTTTATTAGACATTGTGTTTATGTTGGAATAAAGACACACTGCCGGAGGCCGTCCAAAGTGGTTTGTTACGTTAGCCGATGCAGCCGATGGTAGGCACGAGCCCCTCCGGCATCGGTGGTCATCCAGCCGAGCGGACCCGGACGCAGCCGACAGAGGTCATCGCAGCGGGCAGCGACAGCTGGGATTCCAAGAATTAAAACCGTCATTTGTATTATGGGGCAGTGTAGAGCGAAAAGCGAGGATATCCATAGCATGAATAACTTAACAAGGAATGAGGGATGGTGACTTTGGTGAATTTCAGGCTAAAAACCTATTTATACATGTTAAAGAAGTTATGAATGAAAGAATAAAGTTATGTGTTATATGGCCTTA